TGTAGACGATTGCGAGCGAACGGCGGAAGCGTCCGTTCGCTTGCAATCGTTTTGTGCTTGCAGATAACGTGAACAGTACTATCGACGAGCTGTCATTGCACTATGTCATAATTTTAGTCCTGAACAGCTAGCCTAGTACCTACATAGCAACGTAGTAGTCTGCCTATGACAAAATAATCTCACTTCACATGTTACAAAATATATTAGGAAATGTTTCAGAATAACCGAGTCTACTGTGACCTATACGGTCGGTGAATGAAAGTTTAAAATTGGCTACCTTTTAATGCTAAAGTAGCCGCGCTCGTCTTGGGAACGATATAACTTTGTAGCGGTGGTCCAATCGCGCCCCGGGGACTACGACTAGTTAGTGATAATGACCGGTGACGTCATCGGTACACGAACATACTTATTTCATGAGATGTTTGAAAATTTTATCAGTGTACATGTAGTCCAATTTTATCAGTTCTTTAACTTTATCACAAACTAGCTGTGCCCGCGACTTCGTCTGCGTGGGAAGTATTTTGGAAAATTATTTTTTTCCTATGAATGGAGTCGAATTGAATAAGATCAATGGACTATAACCAACTATGCGGGCTTAATGCGGATCGGTGGGTGTTAACGTTGCTGATGCAGCCAGGACTAACGGCTTAACGCATTGTGCCAGCGTTGTGCACAGTGCTCAAGATAATAATGTTTTTTTACCCCTCTTGTGAACGGTCCTTACGAATGTTATATTTCTATCTTTTTTCTCGTTTCTCGCGCTCTGGTTGTCGCTTGTGTCTGAGCATTTTATTCGTACCTTTAAACTGTCCTTCTTTTGTTTTTGATCTCTTTAAATTATTTTTATTTGTCTAGTTGTATGCACAATCGGCTATTTATTGTTATATTTTCCATGTAATGCTAGGTTGCCTGGAAGAAATCGCTGGCTAGCGATGAGTTTGTCCTTTGTACATAACTATGTAAAATAAGTATTCATGTATGTCCTTGTTGTGCAGTATTTACTTACTTATTTAACTGTAATTTAAACCGAACGCGCTTACTCACTACGCCATCGGACCTCTTATACCTAAGCTATACTAATATTATAAAGAGGAATGATTTGGTTGTTTGTTTGTTTGCATCGAATTTGCTCCAACACTACTGGATCGATAGTTTCACAGCGATTCCGACCCACGGGATGCTACATCAGACGCGGTTGTCATAGGCTATAATTTTGCGGCAATGTCGCGGGAAAACAGCTATTTCATTATACCCTGTGAAAACTTATCTGTGGTACGCCTGTGGAATATGAAGGCAACACTGGTTGGCGATAATCGAAACTACTTTCTCGATCTTTATTGTGCAAACTGCGAGCTCTTTCAGAGACTAAGCGCATTTCTCTATCAAAGGAAGTTTCATACTTATACCATACTGCATGTATGTTACGAGCAGCAGTTAGACGCGTTATGCGATCTTCAGAAGTTTCCTAACATCAAACGGTTGTTGTATGAGTTCACCGAGAGCTCAAGAGATTGTCCCTGGTGGTAAATGCTTCAGATTCAACTTTAGTTCATGAGCCTCGCGTTGAGCGCTTTCCGTCCGATCTCTTTCTTTGTCAATAAAATTCAATCGGTACATGTCTGACGGAAGATACGTGTAGTTTTATTTATCGATATAAAAAAATATAAACATATTTTAATTTCGACTTTCCACACTCAAAGGAAATCGTCTACTAACACATACTTTCGAGAGGTGCTTAACTGAGCTTTCGTCAGATTTGAATAGCCACCATCATCATCAACATCATCAACCCTTTTACGTCACCAACTGCAGGAGCTCAGGAAGCCCACTCTAATTCACCGAAAAACGAAATATCGTTCGAAATTTCGGACGTTTCCTACCACAATTACGTTCGTTCCGAATATTCAACGAACGAAAATGTTTGACATATTTATTTTCTAAACCTACTCTATTTCACGAAATGACGAAACGAACATTTGAGTTTGACATCAAATTATTCGGAATTCTTACCTCAAATTGACGAAGTAAAAAATGTTACCTTTTCATTTTCGTTAGCAATTTTTTATTTTCGAAATGGGGTCTATATTACTATTAATCGAGTCAGCTCTCACTCAGTAAAGAATGATTAGACCGTAGAAAAAATCGGCGGTGGCTTCGAAATAGCCTTAATATAAGAAATATTCTCGACACTGAGTTTGTAAGTAATTACAGAAAGAAATTGCATGCCTACTACCATTATGCATTTCGTATTTTTATGATTCTTACAGCGTTGAATTTTTATGCCCGAGGTAGTTACCAAGGATTCGTATTTCAAAACATGGATGGGCCTATGGCCCAACAAACATTTTCACGGTGTTAGGAGGTTAGGACTATCCCCAATTCACCAGATAGGTATTATAAGAAAATATATTATTCCCTCAAAACCAAAATGAAAGCCTACCTAATAGTTTATTGTTTATTTTGGCTTTATGTATGCATTGTGAATAAATACCTATATAATTATGTCATTAATATTACAGATTTTACGGAGGCATATAGGCTATGCCATTATACCTGAAAAATATGACTGATAAAAAGTCAATTTATTACTAAAAACCTTTTTTTGTGCCGAAAAACCAAATATTAGTGTCATTCTTACTTATAAAGTTTTTTACTGAATTGTCAAGATAAATTTCGGAACTCACAATAATTAAATAAAATATTAGTAAACACTGAACAGTTTGGTGAAACTTGTAAAACTTTTGGCGGGATGAAAATCGTTTGTATTATATTTAAGATTGCCATACGTTGATTATAGTCATCGTATAAATGAAAGGTTGTTTTTAAATATGTCGGTTAATACTGTAGATAAAAGAGTTCTTTATAGTGTCTTGATCAGTTGTAACGAAAAATAAAATTCATTAATATACTAAGTTTTTCGTTATATTATTGTAATATTTTATGTTTAAACAATGTTTAGCCACTAAAATTTTATTTAAAAGAAATATATGTATTGTTTAATATTATATATTTCAAGTTATGGTAAAAACCGGAATTGATATTATAAGAATTGTCTATGGAATCGAACATTCGTTGGTGTATACGAAAATGATAAAGAGTAGCGTTACATGCGAAATTTCGTTTTAATTTCGTTCGTAAACGAAATTTCGTTTTCGAGAAAGCGAGTAGGCCTCCAGGTCTTCCTTATGGATGGTTAAGGAGGATGGGCCACGACCCTCCATGCTGGCCCAATGCGGATTGGAGGATATTAACGACTGCAAATACAACCGGGACCAGTCGCTTTACGTGCCTTCCGAATTGAAGTTGCTTGAGATAATTTTTTTTTCACCCATTCTGTGACTGACCTTTGTGAAAGTTGCTTAACAAATACAATCGCGGGCCATGGCGCTTATTCACTACGCCACCGAGCTACATTAAACCGACCCTCAGCCTCGCCTAATATTATATGAGTGTTGTGACCAATGAATAAACCATTGTTTCCAGCGAAGACTGAAAATACCAACTTTGAAGTACATCTACAGCAATTTGTATGTTAAAGAAAAACAAAAAGAGTATTTACATAAAATAAAGTAATAAGAGAAAAAAAATATAACTCGAGTTGACTTTACGTTTTTAACTTCAGTTGACTTGAATCTAACTTTTTTAACGTCGTGGAAAAGCTTCTGACATTGTCTCTGTTACTTGGCAAGCAACAGGGGGTGAGTAGGATTCTTCTCCCTGAACCCGACAGTGAGCTGCCCAGTGGGTCCCCAGAGGCCTGCCCACCAAAATCTGTACGCTACACCCTCTCATGGGAGATGAAATACCGGCAAGATAGGGCCGAGTCACCAGGACACTCAAGTATTGGACCATTGGTTCCCTTGCAAATGGAAAATTGGAGAAGCTCTGGTAAATCGAGTACCTCTCCCAGACAGACGAAACCGTGCGATGCGAGAGCGGCTGCCAACCACCTCCGCTGGCCCCGACGACGACGTGAACCTAATCTGATAAAAATATGCGTTCACTGTAAACTACCGATGCTTAATTGCATCATCAGAAGGCTCTTTTCCCTTGTTCTTCTACTCGCGTGATCGTATACCACACGTCCATTATGAGCTGAACCCTATTTAAATGAGGGCAACTTACTTCGGAGTAGTCAAAAATTGTGGAGTTTTATTTTTTATTTGTCATCATACAAATTATCATTATAAAGACCATATTAATTCGTAGTTCGGAGGCGCGACGGATAAGCGCCGCTGCGCACGATCGCTATTGTTAAGCAATTTTTGCAAGAGTTGTTCATGGGATGGGAGACCAAAAATTATCAAACAAAGGCCCGAGGCCCTGCGGTTTGGCTGTGAAAGAGTAAATGATGATGATCAATATATCAAAGACGAAAATTTAATAAAACAGTTAATATTTCATAGCAATTTTGGCGAACACGTCACTTCAAATTGACATAACTTTTTTATTTAAGAACCGATTGAAATAAATCTTACACTAAATATTAACGGAAGAATACCGCAATATAATATAATATACCGCAGTGAAAACTGCATTTAAATCGGTTCAGCCGTTTCTGAGATTATCGTGCACAGACACAGACAAACCGACAAACGGACAAACAGACAAAAAATTTAAAAATCATTGTTTTGTGTTCTATTACGCTTATGAAGGAAGGGAGAGTGTGTTCTTACATGTTGACTTGATATGTAGTGTTAATACTAAGTCCGTGATAAAATTGTTTTTTCGAGGAAACGTGAAATTTTTTACATAAACATTCATACTATACTATTAAAGTTGGCGTGAGGTATCAAATGATATAAGTCATACAGGCGGCTGTCCATTGGTTTTGATACAAACTTGAAATAAAAAAGTAATAGTGACGGTGGTGTGATAAACATTTTTAATTTTTGACGATACACAGTGCAACTTTCAATTGATTGTCCTTGAGCTTCAAACTAAGTTCCAGTAAAGTCTACAAACACAACAGTATAATAATTTCATCATGTTCGCTAAGGGTTCACTGGTGTAATGGTAGTGATTGTGGACTGAAAGAAGCCATTCTAAACAGGAAACAGCGGTTCGAATCTACGTACTGAACATTTTTTTTTATATATCTTTTCGAATCCACTGTGCGAAATTATCTTCTTATATTTTTTTTATTGTAATTTATTTTTCTAATTTTAATAGTTAATAACATTCATGGAAATCTGCAATATGTCGCAAACTATATCCTGTGCTGGTTGTTTGCAATCGATAGTTGATAGACGATTTTTACGCTGCAATATTTGTGAGCAATACTATGACCTGTTGTGTGCAAATGTATCAGAGCAACGGTTCTTTAATACGCTTACTCGGGAACATCGAAGTCGTTGGAAGTGCCCTTTATGTATTAACAAGGAACCGAAGTGCGACAACAGTAACACTCCCGTGCGACCGGTAGCTGACGTGGTTACTATTCGTCGTGGGGCAGGAGTATCAGTAAGCCCGCCGGACGATAACATGGATGTGTCTGATATCATCGTTGCTGATGATCTCAATAATGCTGCTCATAATATTTCCCTAGATACGTCTCTTACAAAAACTTTAATTGATGAATTACGTCAATTTCGAAAAGAGCTATCCATGACGAGAATGAAGGTGGAGGAGTTAAACGAGACTATGTCTCGTTTTGAAGATAGAATTGTTGCATGTGAGGAACGTATAAACGGAATATCTTCCCGAATTGAAACACTGGAAAAACGTTTAGAAGATAAACATTCTAGTTCGGATGCGGAGTCATCGCTGCTGACAACCGTGGAACAGCTAAAGATGGAACTTAATGAACGTGATCAGGATTTACTATTGAATGATATAGAAATCTCTTGCATTCCGGAAACAAAGGGTGAAAGCTTGCAACATGTTGTCATGACTGTTACACGGAAATTAGGCGTTGGCCTTGAAGAGCAGGAAATTGTTAGTGTTGCACGAGTCGGCCGGCCTACTGCTCAAGAAGACCAGAAAACGGTGCGACCACGTCCCATCGTGGTAAAGTTCACCCGACGAGTTATCCGTGACCAAGTTTTGCGGGCGGCTCGTGTGCGACGGGGTGCTACAACGGAGGGCATCATCCCTGTTGTACCGCCACGAAGATTTTATGTCAATGAAAGGTTAACCCGTGTGAACAGGCAGGTGTTTCGCAGAGCCCGAGAAGTTGCGGGACGTCTTAACTGGCGGTACGTGTGGACGAGGGATGGTCGAGTCTATGCACGTCAGCGTCAGGGTGGTGACTCGCCACGACACCGTTTGCTCACAGAGGCAGATATATGTCGTGTTTTTGAATCCGATACTGTTCGTTCTTCTAGTCAATATATTATTGTCTCAATTTCTTGTTAATAGTTGTTGTTTGTAATACAAGTTCAGTGGTAAGAGTGGAGTTTTTTATATTAGTCAATAAATATACAGATTTTGTAGTTGTGCATGAATTGGGGGACATGTTGTTTTATTCCATGGTAGTGTTATTTTATCGTGTTATTAACTGTGATTATATATTCGATAATATTGTTTTTCTTTCTCTGTATGATTTTAAGCACTCAGTTATTTATATTACGATACTAAATAATTTATTTATGCATAGAAAAGCTAGAAAATGTGTCAATTATTTTAAGATTTTTATTATTATGTCAATTGAATTTTTAAGTTGTGTTCTGAGTTCCTTTCTTTTTTGGTTAGTAGCCTGTATATCAGGCGATGTGGTTACTAGTATAACTGTGTGCGCCGCAACGCGTTTGAATCGGTACAGTTTTATTTTGTTTAATGTTTTAAGTAAGTTGGTAGTTGTTAAAATGAATTATTATTATATATATTTATTAGATTATACAAATTTCCCTTATACAATTTTGTATGAATTAGTATATTCACTCTTGATTTACTTAATCAAATGTTATGTGTTATTTTATTCAATATTTTATTTAAATGATTTAATTATTACGTTTTATTTCTTATACAATTTTAATAGATTTCATACTGAATTCGTGCTATATTACTACTATATGAGTTTGAATCTAAATTATATTAAATTTACTTAAATGGCACCAAAAAATAAGTTCTTTAAATTGGCTCTTTTCAACGCGGGATCATTGAACACTGGTCATGACGATTTTCTTATCGCAATGAATCGTTTTGACGCTGACATAGTGGCCATTAATGAAACATGGATAAAACCCGGCGAAGAAGCACGTGCACCTGCCCCGCCCGGGTATCGACTACGCAATGTGCCCCGTCCCCGTCACATGTGCGGTGGCAGAGGCGGCGGTGTAGCTTTTTATGTGAAACGGAATTTGAGTGTGCGTTTCTTAAAACTTAACACGACTAGCATAGAACAGTTATGGTTGTCCACGCGAATAAATGGCTACCGTGTCTTTGTAGGTACTGCATATAGGCCACAGTGGCTTGGTATTGACCTCTTTCTTGATGTACTAACGGAAACGATTTCCGCTTTCCCTGAACATGACTATATTGTTTTGATGGGAGATTTTAACGTTAATATGCTCGACCCCACTCTCTCTCATGTCTCCAAAGTGGAGGACTTCCTGAGATCTTTCGATCTTCAACAATTTGTAAAGAATCCTACTCATTTCTCAGTCAATTCTGGTACACTGATCGACCTTGTCTGTACAAATTGTAGAATCCGTGATATTTCTGTATCTAATATTGCTGGGTCTTTGGGTCATGCTATGGTGAATTTTAGTCTGGTGCTCAAACGGTCAAAGTCCCCTCCAAGGTATATTTCGTATAGGCCAATAAAAAGGATACAACTTGAAACATTTAATGATGACCTGAATGCTCAGGATTGGGAGTCTGTCCTCGAGTCAACCACGGTGAACGATATGGTTGACAAATTTAATTATATTCTTATTTCTGTCTTAGATAGACATGCTCCAGTTATTAGAGCAAAAGACCGGTCTAGTCGGAGCCTTCCTTGGATAACTGATACTATCAAGTCTATGATAGATCTTCGTGAAAAAGCCCATGAAAGATATCGGAAATCAGGGTCAGATGTTCACAAACAGTTTTATAAGGACATGAAAAATATGGTTTCAATGAGTATTATGAATGAAAAACGCGCCTTTTTTTATCAGTATATCAACAAAAATATAAATAATAGCAAAATCTTTTGGAGAAACTTAAAAAGAAAAATTTTACCGACTCAAGATAAATACGATCTCCTTCCAGAGTGCTTTGACAATCCGCATTCTATAAATAATCATTTTTTGAAGGTGCCTGTCTCGGAAAAAGTATCCATCTCTCAGTTGTTTTTTTTCGAGCATCATCGGTTTAACATCGTCACGCCTCCGTTTAAATTGCATACTGTTACTGAAGCTGAGGTTTCTAAATACATAATGACAGTGAAATCAAACGCTGCTGGCTGTGATGAAATTAATAGGGACATGGTGATGCTGTCGCTGCCACGTACGCTCTCGGTAATCACTTCCATAATAAACAGGTCAATAGTCTCCAGTACGGTCCCTGATCAGTGGAAGACTGCACTAATTACACCATTGCCTAAAGTTGAATCTCCTAGTGAGCCAAATGATCTTAGACCAATAAGTATATTGCCCTTCCTGTCCAAAATATTGGAAAAGGTTGTATATTGTCAACTGGTGAAGTATGTGGAGGCAAATAATATATTACCACTACATCAATCCGGCTTTCGGAAGGGTCGTGGCACTGTGACATCATTGTTGGATGTTACTGACAATATTCTTGCGGAACAGGATGTTGGTCGCGTCACATTATTGACGCTTCTTGATTTCTCGCGTGCCTTTGATGGTCTCAGTGTCCCTCTACTTTTATCTAAGTTAGTCTATTACGGCTGCGATCCGAACTCGATTAAGTGGTTTAGTAGCTATTTCAGCAATCGCTTTCAGTCGGTTAGACTCCGCAGGCAGGACGGATCTTTTATGAATTCCAGCCCGGAACCTGTAAAGCGAGGTGTACCCCAAGGCTCCATACTTGGACCTCTTCTCTTTATTATATATACGGCTGATTTGCCAGCAGTTATTAAATATTGTAAATACCACTGTTATGCTGACGATGTGCAACTATATATTTCTGGGACTCAACATGAAATAACCCAAACCGTTTGGGAGATGAATGAAGACTTAAAAGGCGAAGCTATGTGGTGTGATGAGAACGATTTGGTTCTCAATAAGACAAAATCCAAATTTATGGTCCTGGGAGCGAAAAACCAAACTGCTATTATTCTGAACAATCCCCCGAGTATCAAAATTAATGGTAGTGACATAGAGCTAGTCAATGAAGCAAACAATCTTGGAATGATTTTTGATAGTCAATTGCGTTTTGAGAACCATGTGTTAGGTACTGTTAGGAATTGTTTTTACCGGCTGAAGGTACTGTATAGGATACGAAATTTTCTATCGGAAAAAGCTCGTATCGCCTTATGTGAATCTTTAGTTTTATCAAGGTTGAATTACGGCGACTTGGTTTATGGTCCTCGTCTGCTGTGTAGGACTCAGATTCTTATACAGCGGATTCAGAATGCGTGTTGCCGTTTTTGTTTTAATATCCCACCGCGTACTCATGTCTCGCCTTTTATTAATAACGCCTCAATGTTGAATATGGAGTCGCGCCGTTACCTACATCTAGCCATGTTAATGTTTGACATAATTAAGTTAAAAAATCCGAAGTATTTGCTAGATAAATTGACATTCCGTATTCGTGATTTGAGAGTACCAAGGGCCGTGAGGCCTCCACTGGTCATCCAAGTGCATAAAACTGTGGCATTTAGGGGTAGTTTCCGTTATCAAGCGACAAAATGCTGGAACAATATACCACCACCAATAAGGCAACTAACATCTAGATTGTCATTCAAAAAACAAATTAAAACGAATCTACTTGATATACAAAAATTGGGAATAAACTCCAGCCGACGCATGATGACGGTTGCTGGTGCTATCTGCCTCTAAATAGGGACGTTTTGGTAAAATTAACAAAAATATTCTCTTTATATTGTGCTGTTTATCCATGTTATATAATTTATGTATACTGTTTTTTCATGCTCCGACATATGTAATCTGTGATAGTGACTATATTTAAAATATTTATTATTCTCACAATTTAAATTTTGAAATTAGTTGATTAATTAAATGAATGATATTATATTCCATTATAATACTTGTGATTGAATGCAATTTTTAATCGGACTATCATATCAAAGTGAAGCTATAGTTTGAGATCGTGCTAGCACTCTGGGTAAAGGCTGAAAATCAGCGCTTTGCTCCTTGAGCAAAGGAATCGTTGAGCTTTTACCCTTTTGCATTGTTGTGGCGCACACGTTAAAGCGAATTTTTTTTATTGTATTTTTTTTTATTGTATTAGAATTTTATAATGCATGTGTGCTATTTTAATAATGCAAATAAATATATTATCTATCTATCTATCTATCCCTTAGAACAGTTTTTTTCATATATTTTCAATGTACAGACATCGATCGGTTATGTTTTTATTATAGTATAGATTAAGTAGGAAGCTAATATTGGTAACCAAATCCTACTGATGTTAGAACGCACGCAACCCAAAATATCAAAATCCATATCTTTGTGGAAACTTAGTGCACCTTACCTTTAGGAATTATAATTGTTAGGTCGATTGCCTCAGTAGCGAGGAACTAATAAACTGACGGTGATAAATAGGTTAATATTAGATGTTACGTAACTCGAACAGATTTTGAATAAATTAGCGCGTGGTCAAGTGTTTCCATCAGCCGGCACACCGGTACTGGAACGTGGGTCTTCATTTACTTGTACGTACGTGTACGGGTGATATCTTGCTCGGAACGTGTTCAGAATAGTGAGCATCTGCTACTAATGGAGCTGAACTGAACAAATAACCATGCGGGATTGAGTCTGTGCACGGATTGTATCGTTGTTGTATGCGGGACGAGATGTGCAACCATTACATCGCATTCATGATACGACCGAGATGAGCTCGTTAATATAAATTGACATTTACACTTTCATTGTACTTGGAAGACTTTTATATTAAGTAATTAAACATTTTGTTTATACACACATCAACATCGTCTGAGGATATTTAGTATAAAGTTCTAAATTTAAAAAATACTGGCCGGTTTTAAAATCTTTCGATGAAAACTTTATTATACGCCTTTTTTGATGATTCGAAATTTGAATTAAAAAAGAAATAATTTCAAACAAAAGATTTGTGCGGTATAATTCAAGCAAAGTACGAAGTTTTCAATTTACCTACCATAGTTTTTGAAGATTTTAAAACAAGTTAGCTGTTTAATTTGAATTTGCGCTACTGTATGCATTATGCAGCGACGCCATTTAACAAGAGAGGAAATGTTAAGGGCA